CCTCCCTGCCCTTCCGCTGGCCACGCGAGTGGGAAGAAGCCACCTGCCTCGGCCTCCCCAGGGTCCCCGGGCCGGGCGCTCACCATGTGCCCTGTTCCAGAGAAGCTGCCCGCGGGGCCCAGGTCCGATGGTGGGCCCGGGATTGCCGGGTCTTCCTTGCGGTGCCTGCCGGCCTCCGGGCAGGGTCGGAGCCGCCCCTGCGACTCAGCCACGAGGGGCGGGGCTGGGGTTGGCCCGCAGGCGGCTCTGCTCACCCGCCCCCTCCCACCCGCCAGCTACGGGGGCGTGCTGAGCGCCTACCTGAGGATGAAGTACCCCCACCTGGTGGCCGGGGCGCTGGCGGCCAGTGCGCCTGTCCTGGCCGTCGCGGGCCTGGGCGACTCCACCCAGTTCTTCCGCGACGTCACGGCGGTGAGTGAGGGTCGGTGGTCCCTAGGCTGCCCAGAGTTAGCAGCTGAAGTGAGCTGGTGTCTCTCCTCCAGGACTTTGAGGGCCAGAGTCCCCAGTGCGCACAGGCAGTGCGCGAGGCCTTCCGGCAAATCCAGGACCTCTTCCTGCAGGGAGGTGAGGCCCAGCCCCCTCCGGCCCGCGCCCTGGAAGCCCCGCGGCCCCACACCTCTCCCCTTCCCTGCAGCCCAGGACACCGTCCGCCGGGAGTTCGGCACCTGCCAGCCACTGTCCAGCACGCGGGACCTGACCCAGCTCTCCGTGTTCGCCCGCAACGCCTTCACTGTGCTGGCCATGATGGACTACCCCTACCCCACCGACTTCTTTGGGCCCCTTCCTGCCCATCCCGTCAAGGTGGGCGCCTCTTCCTGGGCAGGGTGCGGGGAGGGCCTGACCCCCACCTTGAGCACCCTGCCCTGTCCTGGGCCCCTGAGCTCTGCCGCCCTTGCCAGGTGGGCTGTGACCGGCTGCTGAGCCAAGACCGGAGGATCCCGGGGCTGCGCGCGCTGGCAGGTACCTCCTCCTCTCCGCCCAGGCGGGCAAGCTTAGAGACCCTGGTGGAAGGGCAGGGCCGGGGAGTGGGGGCTGGGGCCCTCCTCCGGCCCAGGGTCTCCAGCAGCTGCAGGGGAGGCGGGGGCCACCTGTCCGGGGCTTCGCCTGAAGGGTGCTGTTTGCCAGGGCCTCTGGGGGTCCCAGCACGTTGGCAGCACCCGCCCCCACCTCCGGAGCCTCTGGAGCAGGGCGTTTGGTGGGCCGGGGGTGGCTGCCCTCGGCAGCCGGGCCCAGAGCTGACGGCACAGACCCCGCAGACCCCCACGCAGGCAGCCCAGGGCCTCCTTGCTGGGACCCGCGGGTCCCGCTGCCCAGCCCACCTGCAGGACCGCCCGCCCCAGCGCCCCTCCTCCCCAGGACTGGTCTACAATTCCTCGGGCACGCAGCCTTGCTTCGACATCTACCGGCTCTACCAGAGCTGTGCGGACCCCACCGGCTGCGGCACCGGCCCTGACGCCAGGGCCTGGGATTACCAGGTGCGGGCGTGGGCAGCCTGGGGTCCCGGGCAGGCAGTGGACGTAGCCGCCCACCTGACTGCACCACGTCTGCAGGCCTGCACCGAGATCAGCCTGACCTTTGCCAGCAACAACGTGACCGACATGTTCCCCGCCCTGCCGTTCACCGAGGCCCAGCGCCAGCAGTACTGCCTGGACACGTGGGGCGTGTGGCCCCGGCCCGACTGGCTGCAGACCACCTTCTGGGGGGGCGGTAAGGGGGGCAGCAC